CTTATCTTTGTGCTATCCTATAACTGATATAAAGGGGAAGCTGGGGTCTCTTCTTGGGATTCTTAGTCTCATTTATAAAAGAATTTAAGATTGAATTCAAGTGGAAGCTTGAGGAAAATTTTATTAGGGTTGAAAAGAAAACCTCCAGTGCAGGCAAGCTGTAAATCTCAGCAGCTGACTGGAGGGGAGAAGGAAAAAGGAAAGGTATACTGTTTAACACAGCATTGGAGGGTAGACACGGGGAAGACAAGTAGCCACATTGGTAAGGAATGGGGCTTTAGATAGAAAGTAAGGAATCCAAAAATGTTGGGGAAGTGGGAAGTGTTAGAGACAGCATGCTTAGAAAAGAGAAAGCAGAAAAGGGGAGGTTATGCTTTTCTGAGTAACTCAGAAGAGTGGGAAGACTTAAAAGAGTTTGTGGCTGTGGCCAGTAAGCTACTGTGATAGAGGTGGAGATTCTGGGAAGGAACAGTACAGTATCTCATTAAAGAACTAATTATTCCACCTGTCTCTTAAGCATGGCTTAAGGTGAACTGGCCTTCTTGGGGGGTCCTTCCTTGGGCAGATGATCCATCTGGTCCAACTGGAATGTCAGGTTCCCACCCAGGCCAGAGATTTTATTCTCTTGATGAGTTTTCCTTCCTTCCTTCCTTCCTTCCTTCCTTCCTTCCTTCCTTCCTTCCTCTCTCTCTTTTTTAATGGTCCTTTATTGTTACTCTAACATAACTGTTAGCACTACGAATTTGCATAGTCACTGAGTATCTGAAAATACATTTAATATTTCATTTATGGTGTTTTGTTTGTTTTGAGACAGGGTTGGTCTCCCTGTAGCCCCAGCTGGCCTAGAATTTGCTATGTAGATCAGGTTGGCTTCCATGTCACAGAGATCCACCTGCTTCTGCCTTCTGAATGCCGAGATTAAAGGCAAGCACCACCACACCTGCCTATGGCTTTAAAAAAGAAAAAGATTTGTTTTTATTTTAAATTATGTGAATATGTGTATGTCTGTGTGTGGGTATGTGCACATGAGTGCATGTGCCCCCAGAAGTCAGAGATGTTGAATCCCCCAGGAGCTGGAGTTACAGTGACTGTGAGATGCTTGACATGGTTGCTGGGAATTTTACTGGTATCCTCTGGAAGAGCAGTACCTGAGCAATCTCTTCAGCCACCATGGCTTAAAAAAATTTTTTTTTTTTTTTTTTAAAGATAGGAGTGTGTGTAGCCAAGGCTTGCTTCATACTCTAAATAACTGAAGCTGGGCTTAAACTGATGCTTTTGCTTCTAACTTCTAGTGCTGAGATTACAGGCATGCACCACCACGTCCAGCTCAGTTATGGTATAGTAACAGGCTATTCAGTAGTAAACACCAGCTTTGGACTCAATTGACTAAAAGTCTCATGCAACCCAGGCTGGCCTCCAAGTTACTAGGTAGCTGATGATGACCTTGAACTCCTGATCCTGCCTCCACCTTGTATTTGCAAAATACTGGGATTACAAGAATGCACGTGGGTCAGCTTAAAACAGTTTTTTTTTTTTTTTTTCCCCCCCAGCTGAGCTCTTCTCACCTTTGGCTGCACACAGGAAACTGTCAAGTCCAGTCTCCAAGGGAAGATGGGCAAGTTACAGCAAGTTTTCTGACATCACTTCCTTACATTGTGTGTGGTTAAAAAAAACAAAACAAAAACAAAACCCAAACCATAAACAGCTGGGGTGTTGGGACCTGAAAGAGTATTTTTCTTAGTTTAGGCGGCTGGGGATCAACTTTACCCAGCCCAGGGTCCCTAAAGGCCCTCATGCAGTTAATTGTTCTGGCCCAGCATGTTCGCGCTGAGCCCACCTGCCTCTTCTGTGGCCTGCTATTGGCCAGGGCGGTTTCCACTTCTCTGCCATGCACGAGGAGCCTCGCACCCGGGGCGCCACGCACCCAACAGCCGCTGATCCAGCAGCCTGGTGGGCCGCCTGGGCCGCAGCCCACAGTCGCCGCCCGGGCGGATCCCAGCAGCGTGAGAGCCGGGGATATCAAGGGGCCCGAGGGTCCAGGTCCCCAAGGTTCGGAAGAGTTGGAAAATGTCTTCGGGGCATGCGCCACAGCGGCCGTTAAGTGATCCAAAACCGACACTGTGGAGTCGGGAGCCTGCAGGGCTGGAGCCGTGCATGGGCGGACTTCGCATACCCAGCAACGACCCTGAGGGCGCCGGGAAACCCTGGCTAGGTGTGGGCGGCGCATGGGGGAGCGGTACGGGGGGCGGTGTGTGTGTGGCGGCCGCGGCTAGAGTCCGGCAGTGCGGCTGCGTGGGTGTCTTGGGGCGGGGCCGCAGCTACGTGGGGCTGGGGATGCTCCATTCTCCCAGCTTACTTTCTGCACTGGAGGAGCTTCTTTACTCCAGGGTAAGCAGTGCCAGGACTGATGCACCTTAGAGATGACTCTCTAGTCGTGAAGTTACTCGGAAAGCTAGTGGTTGATTTGTTGGTTAGGTTTCAGGCTCAACTCTAGGTGTTGGAAATGTGCAATAGAACCCCCAAATTCAGGTCCGTGAGGGAACTGAATTGGTGTTGCGTCATTGTTTGCTTATTAAGAGAATGTTCCCTTTTCGTAGTTTCATTTGGATGATGTTTGTAAGTTACAGAAAGCAGTGTGGGTGAGGTTGAGAAGTTGAGAATGACCTTGAACTTCTGAACCGCCTGCCACCATCACCTCTTGAAGGTGCTGAGATCATAGGCACACCACTATGGCTGGCGTTAGGTGGAGTTGGGGAATTGAACCGAGGGCTTCATACTTGCTAGGTAAACACTACTAACTGAGCAGTATCTACAGCCTGAGGTTGAAATAGGCCAAACTTAGGAGTCTGATCATACTGAACTAATGGTAAATGGAACAGGATTATTACACTTTGGTATAGGGAAAAGTTATGCTTTCTGAACCTGTTGTTAATGCCTCTGTAATTACTGCATACATTCTGTGGGCAAATGGTAACAGGCAAGAAGATCTGCCCTACATTCTCTTTTGCATGTGAGCTGTTGTGTCTTCTAGGCATCTCTTGTAAAAACGGGTTATTTGGTATTTACAAAGCTAAGTTGCTGCTGATTCTCTGATACAGAGCTTGGAGGACATATCTTTATTTTGTGTGTGCGTGACAACAAAAGTTGGAAACTATGGAATTGGAAGAAGAGATCATACAGGTAAATGCCATCCTTCTTATTCACCTGCATGGCTCTTGGAGAGGTGTACTTGTGAAGAAATTACAAGCACAAGCCATCCTATTTAGGCCCTAGCATTTCCCAGAGTGTTGAACTGAATAAAGCAAACATGGATGAAATGTTCACATTTGATGTATATAAAGTAAAAAGAACAGCTATTATTTATTTTAAAAAAAGCTACTATCTCTAACATAAATGTGCAAAGGGGTCACCTGGAGATTTTAAAGTGCAGATGTTTGAGCTCTGGTGAAGCCCAAGACTGCATTTGTATAGTTTCCAGGAAGCTGATACAGGTTTGAGGAACCATGCTTGGAATACCTAGGCTGCATATCCGTGCTGTGCAATAGGTACGTAGCATCTAGGCTCTTGAAATGTGGCTAGAGCAACTGAGGAAGGAACTGAACTCAAACCTGATTAAGCTTAAAAATGGATGTTGTAGCTGCAGGTATGGCTCAGTGGCAGATTGCTTGCCTGTCGTAAGCAAGTGTGAGACTCTGGATTCCATTCCTAGCACAGCCGAAACAAAACCCCCCCCCCCCGACACACACACATATGCAGGCTGTGTTTTATTGTATTGTTGGAGATGGAATTCAGGGCCTCAGCCATGTAAGACAAGTGGTCTGCCACTAATCTCTGTCCTGCTTCTGCTTGTATTTGGTTTTTATTGGACACCTTTATCCTAGATATGAAGGGTGTTTGTTTTACTTTATAAGACTGGGATATAGGAACTTCTGTTACAGATAAATTTAATAAATCCTGCTTTTTTTCTTGGGGTCTGTCAAAGAAAAGGCTATTCTGACTTAGGACTATTGTAATAACAACACCACAGTAGCATTAACCCTGGAAGAGGAAAGCAAGAGTAGCAGGGATATATAAGCAAGGAGTAGGATGTGGGAAAGTTGGGCCTAGGATAAGAAATCAGATCAATTTAGATGGTAAAGACGATCAGCTATCAAGGCTGAGAAATTTTTTTTAAAATGATTTGGCAGAATTTTTAAAATGTTTTATTTTATTTTATATGTATGGGTGTATTGCCTGCATGTATGTGAGTGCACCCGTGTTGTGCAATGCCCACTGAGGTCAGAAGAAAGGTGTCAGATCCCCTGGAACTGGAGTTATATTCGGTTGTTAGCCGCCATGTGGGTGCTAGGAATCAAACTCAGGTCCTCTGTAAGCACCCAGTGCTTAGTGCTCTTAACCACTAAGCCATCTCTCCAGCCCCCAATTTAGCAGAATTCTTGAAAAAACTGGGCTTTGCAGCCCAAAGACTGGGATTTGGACTTGGATTAACACCTGTTAGAAAAGAGGCCTTAGAGAAGCCTGGGTAAAGATTGGGGAGGTTGAGAGAGCCTTTGGTTAGCCAAACATTTTCCAGTCTCCTGTCTATCTGGACATAGGTTTTGGCAGTTCACTGTGGTTAGGAGGTTTGTAACTGGTATTATTAAGTGCATTAATTAGTAATGTACCCTTCAGCTAAAGCTAAGCTAGCCTAAGAATGATGCCCAGCTGTCACATACTAATGGGAGGAGGGGAGTGTGCAGTGCTTTCCTAATGATTCTAGAATTGGGGTGTTTGGAGGCTGCTGTTGCCCTAAAGTGATTGAAGAGGAGAAATCTTTTTGTTCTTTTCTCAAATTTCTAAAGCAATGCATGATTAAGATTTTGTTTTTGGTTTGTCTTAAATCTTTCAGTGCAATAGTGTGGTTGGTGGTAATTTTGAAGAAGTTTGTCCAGAGAAAGTAATTAGGTTTAAACCGCCATTATACAAACAACGGTACGAGTTCGTTAGAGATTTAGTGGACCGCCATGAACCCAAGAAGGTAATTACCTCTTTTCAAGAAATTAACTATTAAAATGGTTTGTCAAATATACTAATAAGGATAGACTTTATTTTCCTGCAGTATTAGTGATTCAGACCAGGGCTTTGGCATGCTAGGCAAACCAAGATACATCCCCAGTCCCAGGATAGGCTTGAAAGATTTGGGGGCAGGGGAGTGGATATGATCAAGATATATTGTGTACAAGTAGAAAACCGTCAAAAAGGAAAAAAAGAGATGTGGTTTCATTATGTTGCCTAGGCTGACCTCTAAATAACTCCTGGACTCGAGTGATTCTCCTGCCTCAGCTTCCTGGAGCTGAGACCACAACTGTGTCCAGCAGGAGCAACTTGGAAAGGATTATTGCAGTAGGAAGAAGACCTTGACCATAAGATCCTCCGGTGTTTCAGAGTTAAGCAGAGTTTGTGTTTATTTTTATTTTTATTTTTTTACCATGGAGGAGTAAACAAAGTAGGAAAGTCATTAGGATAGTCCTAAGAAGGGGACATACCATTTTTTTTAAACCCTGAGGTTGGCTTAATTATGGAAAGATCTTATTTATTATTTATTTA